ATTGATTTTTCCTCGAGCACTAACTTTGGTGCACGCCCCGCTTCTTTGAGCGGGGTCCACAAACAATCAGTGTTCTCACCCTGCCTCCTGCACCCCTACCAAATTTTGATTTTCTAGGTTTAGAAGAATTTGGGTGAGAATTCCCCTTCGAAAACAATTTTCGCGCAAACCCGTCCCGCAGGCGGATTCGAGTCTTGCCACATCTCATCTGTGTACTCATCCTGCCGCCTGTACCCCAAACTTGAACGCAGTTGGTTCAAGGCAGTAGGGTTATGAATTTCCCTAAGACACAATCCCTACGACACACCCTTACCCCAAGCAAACAGAATGTGGAAATTGAATCGTATTATCTTGTAACTTTCATTTTGTTGTGCTGCTGAGGATAAAGCTACGGATGGCTGTCAGTGGAAATTTCAAACATTGCTGTTTTCATTTCCGCAACTTCTAGTGAAAACCAAGTTCCAGGTTAATATTTCGAAGCTGACCGTGCTGAACTACGCTTCGACTGACTTGCCAATGTTGCCGTCTTCAAAAGCCACTGAGAAGACACGGTTACATTGCCGGCATATTGATCTGCGAACTGATCGAATGCAAAGGTTGCCCACATGTGCTTGTTTACGTTTGCGTTTCATTTAGGCTACATATGTTTTTTATCTGAGCCGTTGGAAGTTACTCTAGCATTCTAGCTTTGATTTTCTTCTTCAAAGAAGACTTGACTTCTACAAAAAAAGTAATCTGCTTTATCTTCAAGCTCAACAGTCGTTTTTTTTCTCAGTGACATGCCAGAATTTTGATTGCTTTGCCAACAGATAACGCGTTTCTCATCCTAGGTATTCACTAATTGGTTGGATCATTCAGTTGAGACAAATATCAACGTACCCTTCGCACACGCAGCACTACGCTTTTTGCTTAAATCGAGTCCCTGAGGTTGGTTTCGACTCGAGCACCGGGCTCTCGCGGCATGCGATAGCCGGAAAAACTTCTCAAAGAATAAGAATAACAAAACTAACTCACAAGGAATGGGTACTCGGTCGCCACGTCCACTCGAGATGTATATGTGGGGGTGAAAGCGCCTTTCATACGAAACTGCGGGTAGAACTACAACAATTACAATTACAACAACTACCATGACGAGGAACCTAATGCGACTGCTGATGGGGGGTATTAGAATACCAGCCACGGAGTCTGTGTCCACGCTTGCTGAGTGGTGGCCGCGGCTGGACGATGTGGACAGTAACGGGAACGTCAATTGGTGGTACGGTAGAATCGGTACCGGGATTGGGTACATTTGCAGTGCTACCATTACTGACCTTAGGCTTCTTCTGCCCTCTTTGCATGCCATCGAACAGTTGAATTTCGAATTAGCAGAGGTGCGGCATTGTTTAGAGGCCTCTTTCTTTTTCTAAAAGTGATTGCACTCAAGCGGAGCGACTCTTACCTGCCGCTCCCAACGGCGGCAATTCTACCGTTCCCTCCAAATGAGCGCGAAGCGTTTCAAAGTATTCTACGATCACTGCTCTTGAGTATGCGTGCGTGCTGAACCTCCTAGAATGAGCTTCCAGGGCGTGTGAAGGCTCCTGGCGGTCTTAGCGAGGTCACTGGAGAAATCATTTCAGCTCTATCCTGCATGTAGGCCTTATCTTCGCGGATGGATTTCCATGATTTTCATGCCCGCGCGAGCTACTGCTGCCAATACTGAAGCCACCTTACCCCATCCTCGCTTGGGATACGTTCATGAAACGCTAGGCTCATGAGTACGCACAAACGCTCTGTTGACTTCTTCAGGAGCCCTCCAGTATCGCTTGCCATGGTGTATACGCGACGTTCATCAGGGTTCTCCTTGAAAATGGAAAGCAGAGTTGATTGTGCGGAAACTATCTGGTAATATTATTACGACCTTGGCGAATCCTCATAAGCGATTTCGTCCCGATCGTTCCCTTTCGCCAACCTTACGGCTTCGTTGACTACTTGGTTGAGTTCCTCTACTGGTGGATCGGTTCCACCATTAAGTGCGAGATAGAGGAGAGATTTATCGTGGAGGATTAGGGCACGGAAAACACGTTTACCTCATCATTGTCCATACACCAGGGGTGATGCGAGCGAACGGATGGTGACTTGAAACAGTTCACAGTGCACATGCCAGCATCAGAGTCCTTACGGCTTTGGAACGGACAAAAGTGCTATTTTAGCACTTGCTGTTAGGCCTGCTCAAAGGCTGTTACCCACTTGATCCTGTTAAGGGGTTTTTTGTTTATGTAAGCGAAGAGCCTGAAGAGCTTGGAGAGCTTAATATTAAACAACTCTAGCGTGTTTGTGCCCGGTATTACTACTTCGTCGCACCCTATACCGATGTAGGCAGGCACGAACTCTAGAGGGTATTCTAATGTCGTCGCTGTGCAAATAGTGTCGAAGGACTTCATCTTATTCCCTGATGCATGACGAACTGCAACTTTGGGAATGGGTTAACGTTCCATGTATTCATCCAACTTGACACCCTCGTTTGCGGCTCTCTTCAACAGCTTTGGTGGAATGCTTGCTGTCTCTGAGCCCGTGTGCAAAAGCTCTTTACCCTTATACCGACAATTGTTACATATCTCTACCAGCGGTCTTTTTGTGAATAGTTACGCTGGGCCTCGGGCTGTCCCACGTTGTGCACATCCGTTTATTTATGCGGGAAGCATACGCTGAACCAGGCTGAATTCTCTAAGCGTCTTGCTTTCGCAATGTTTTGTTGCCGGGCCTGTGATGTTACATGAATTCTTTTGCTAGATTACCCGGTTTTTCGCAATTGTAATATCTTGACGAATCACCTCTTCTTTTCTGAAAACGATGAGTTTGTTCCTTTCTGGTGTCTGTTGGGGGGGCGGGTGGGATGGGTGGGCTGTTTTCCGCCTCAATTTTCGAACTTCATTCCAAGTCTTTGCTGACCTTTTTAACACCCACGCGTGATGTGTTTTGACAGAACCTTCTGTAGTCCTCGTATTGATTAATGATCTGTATTCATCAGGATATTTCCAGGTTTCTCTCCAATAGAAGGGCCGCTCCCTTGACCTTCCTCATGCTTGTTCGCAACTACTGGTCTCTGGCGTTTCAGTGAGGCAGTAACTACCGTTCCCGCTCCAATCTCAGCCCTCATGCTTGTTCGCAACTACTGGTCTTTGGCGTTTCAGTGAGGCAGTAACTACCGTTCCCGCTCCAATCTCAGCTTTCTGCAATGACGTTGCTTCTGTGGGCATGTCTGGGTCAACCTTATTCTCTGAGTCATTCATTACGAAGCAAAACTCGCTGATGGTTTGCCCGGGTCGAATGACTAATTTGCGCAGGTCTGCTGAAGGCTGGAGCCTTTACCTTCAGCTTTTTCCATCTACGCGTAGCCCATCCTTCATTGCAAGGGTGCCAACTGGTCAGAACTCGCCCGGTCAACCGTGAAAAGCCTGTACCTCCAATAAGGCCAATAAGGAAATCTTGCACATGCAGCACAACGAAATCTCATTATTCTCGCCTGGACCCACGATTGTTGAATTATTCGGCAGTTCTCTGGAGTCACCCTCAGCGTAGTCGCCCAACACGGTTGCTTCGATGGTATCCAAGCCTTTGAAGAGCGCATCTGGTTGAACTGAGCATTTGTTTTTATTGTATGCTGCTGTCTTAGTCGATGAGACTCACCTTGCTCTATCGCACTGTTGTACTCATTTCTGAATGAACTCATCTTGTTTGGCTGTTCAAAGCTCCCGACATCTTTCGCTTTCTTTCGCTCTATCGCACTGTTGTCTCATCTCTGAATGAACTCATATTGTTTGGCTGTCCAAAGCTCCCGACATCTTTCGAAATTGTTCGTCCTTCACTTCTTTCTGAATTATTATATTTGCAGTCAAAGCCCATCACAGTTCTGCCTTTCTTACTTTAAGACCTGCAGAGAGACCTCTCAGTGTCATGCTCACTTCTACTTCCTGATATTGCAGCATCTCGCATGCCTCCTTTATTGTGTTGGCCATCGCGGCATTTTTACTTAAGTGTTCATGGCAGCTGACAATGAGGTGCACTATTTTTTCGCGCTTCTGATAGCACCTCTAAAAATGTTCCATTAATTCTGGCCTATTTCACTCGCTATTCCCACGCTACTTGCTCGCGAACTGAGGTTTCTATCGACTCACTTCTCGGGTCATCAGTGCGCATTATTTTGGATAGCTTCGCATCATAAGTTACAACTTTTAAATTGCCTTGATTTAATACTTTGATCAGAAGTTTGTCCGCGCTATCATTTCCTTAAACAGGAATCGTGATTCATATAGCTTTAGACTTTAGACGCCCTTTATGACTGGACACGACCTGAGACAGGGATGCCACTGGACGATAACCACGGCAGTGACAATCGCAGTTCGATGAGAAATATACAGCAGTGATGGCTGTTACGCAACAGCAGTATAAAAATAGACGCCTGCCAACAATCAGCTCTTTTCTCTCTAGTTTTATATTTGACTTGATATCTTGTTAACTGCTTTTATTTCGCCGCAGTACGCGATGCGAAATCTTTACAAAGTTGGCGGGTTGTGTACAAAACTTCGGCCCCGGACTTGACTCGAACCCGTACTTGTGCTATCCGGGCATCGTGTTTTGACTATAACTCGCCAACTGCCAACCATTGTGAGAGGACCTACTTCTACTCTTTTTCTACCGCTCCCTTTTACGATTATAGCTGCTAAAGCCCCATAGAAGTAAAAGCCTCAAGTCAAGAAACATCCAGAAGGAATTCCGGAATTCTGTTTCAGTGTTTTCCGCGAACTGTGAAATGAGGTGACAACTGCAACAATGTAGGGATTAGTTAGCACGCTTCAACTCAGCTTGGACACCAGTATTGAATAAGTATGAATGCCGATTTCGAGGGCCTGGGCTATTTGAGAAAGCGAGAGGATAGCAACATTGTTGCTAGCCGAAAACTTGTTGGCAACCAATCTATGTTGTTCTCATTCAAGAAGCTTAGCAAAGTCTAAAAATCTATTGGATGTCTCCCACTCGAACTGTCCGACAGAAATGAGGTCAAAAATGTTCAAATTTCTGCCTATTCATTGTAGCGGACGAAGAGGCCTAGTTCCTGTAAGATCTCGATAAGATGAGTCATGATTCCGATTCAAAATGAAAATAAGTTAGCTCACATGAATTGACCATAAGTGAGGCATATAGGATGCAGTCGTTAGACTAGACGCTAATTTGGCTTCCGATTTTAACTTTGAAAAGGTTTGTGCTAGGTTTTTATGTTTCTGTTTTGAAATAGAAACAACTAGAAAATGCGTTATCCCAATATCATGAGCAGGAGAAGCTGCTGCTCCTTGTTTGCATAGAAGTGATGATAAGAGTCTACTTCAAACTGAGGATGTTATTAGAAAAAAGAAAAATTGCTCCACCTCGTGTTTGTGGGTATAAATGTCTGAGCATCCGAAAAAAACGTAGCAAAACGTAGTACTCTTGACACCTCTCATGAGTAGAAAACGAAAATGCATAATTTTTTTTTAAACTTGATCTCGGTAAATTATTACCACAGATTTTGTTGATATACCTGTACGACCGACGACCTACCCGACCAAAATTGTTCTGTCACATTACAGCTATAACAAGTTTTGAATTTTTTTCAGGGCTTTGCGAATCCGCTCAGATGTCGTGCACAAGATGCGACGCTTTCTCATTGAATACGCTAAGTTTGTTGATGTAAGTTGGGGCATTGTAAGGTCAATGGTTCTAGTTCCTGTACACTATAGATGAATATACAGTAGCGCTCAAAAGTATTCGGCCAAACGCTTTCACGCTTTTTCGTTCATAACTCTTTTCTTGGTGGAGCAAATCGTGCGAAATTTTGTTATGTTTAACTGAAGCATATTTCACACCATCCAACTCTACTTGACTGCGAAGCAGTAATATCCGCATAACTGAGAGCGGCACTTCTTGCTATAGTAGATTTCGCTAAAGGCAAAGTTATTGACGTCTACAGTTACTCTCACGTTATGTGCGTTATTCTTCTCTACTGTGTTCTGCATTAGCGCTCGTACACTTCAGACTTCGCAAAAAGGAAAGAAGCCAGAAGGGTCATCATTCGTCTTTCCAGTTGATTTTGAGTTCCAGCCCTTTAGGACATCTGGAACACGATCAGATTGCAGGTTAATAGTGGTAAATATTCACAATACACCAATGTTATAAAAATTGAAATTTCGCTTGATTAGATCCAGTGGGAAAGAAGCTACGACTGGAAAGTACAACTGACATTTCGCAGAATACTTTTGAGCTCTTCTGTACCTCTGGTATCTGTGGTTAACGACTTGTTGAACTCCTGCCAGATTTACTTCTTCGACTCATAAGAACTGCTTTATTTAATTTGATTCTCAATCAGATAAGGTGGAAACACCGACTCTTTTTCGACGTACGCCAGGTGGATCGGCGGAGTTTCTTGTCCCCGCTCCCCCACCCAACCGAGGGCTTTGCTACTCTCTACCTCAAAGTCCACAACAGTTCAAGCAACTGCTTATGGTTGGTGGCATCGATCGATATTTCCAGGTAAGTTGATCTTTTTTTACTAGATGATTATCTGTTCTTGAAAAGGAGCGTTGTAGATAGCCCGTTGTTACCGCGATGAAGGATCCAAGGGTGATAGACAGCCGGAGTTCACACAGGTTAGAGGCTTACTAGAGAGCTGTCCCCTGCTTTTCTCAGCCCACATTAGCAAATCCTTTTTGATATGATTATTCCTGGAAACTGAAGCGAATTCAGGTGGATCTTGAACTGTCGTTTACAACTCAAGACGGAGTAATGTCCTTAGTCGAAGAACTATTGATTGCTGCATGGCCTGAAGAGTTGGTTGGTGTACATCGACTGTAACCATCTTTATAAATGAGACGTGCACATGATCTAACCTTTCTTTACATGCAGGCACACCTTTTGTTGGGTTAGCTGAGGAGAGTTGTACCGGTATGGACAATATCAGGCGAATAGATACGTAGTGAAATGAAAATGATACAGATTTCATCTGGCAATGAGATATATTAACTAGGCAGGAAATCATGATATACTCAGAGAACATTCAAGATGAGATTTATAGCGCCAAGGGTGATTTCTTACGCTGATTTCGAAATTCCGTTGCAAGAGTGCTGAATGGGAGAACGGAAAAATTTGTTCTATGATTACTTGAGATCTCAATATGGGTATAGTGGAGGATCTACCTATTAGAAAATGTACAACCCTATAAGGTTAGGTCCTTGATGTTTTGTACAACAGTTGATGAACCCACGGTGTTAAAAACAAGCGGAACCTTCCCAGACAACCCAATATGTAGGCCCAATTGGGTTATCCAGAAAGTTTCCACCGTTTTTTGGGTCACCTTCGCGTGAAAATTTCATTGTCCTACTTTCATAAGTTTCAGAATTAGAATCCAAAGCCCTGTCAGAGTTTTTTAAAGTCCCCCAGCGGATTGAAGGATTCTCCATTCGAGGAGTTCTGTGGAAACCTAAATAAGTGGTAGTCGGTGCTATGTCCGGAAATGGTGAGACAGCCCACCCTAGCTTTAGCAATTTTTGACGAGTGGCAAAAAATACTGTGGTCTGCAGTTATCCAGTTGGAGGCCAACACCTTATGATTGGCCAGGCTCTTCTGGTCTGTCGCTGCCTTCAAATTGGCTAGTCAAATACAGTACCTTTCCGATGAATCATTTGATTATGCTGCAACAGCTCTTAGAAAATAATGCCCTTTCAATCCATCCTGCTTGACCTTTGGAGTGGTTCGTGAGGGCTCATTGGAAGGCTCCACGATCGCTTCCGCTCCACGTTATTGGATACGATCTTCTCTTCGTCCCTCGTTTACATGCGTTTAGAAACGGCTCATTTGTGATTCATTTGTGCAACGAGTCTCACACGGAGGCACAGTCTATCACACTGTGCTTGCTCAGTTTGTGAGGTACCCAATCATCAAGGCGCTTAACCAAGCCATGTTCCAAGAAATGGTAATGAATGGATGATTTTGGAACAATAGAATTTCCTTCTATTCACAAGTGCTGATCTGCCGATTCGTTTGATTAATATTTGCACCATCTTAAAGGGTAATTCGCCCTGTTTAAATGTCACAGACCACTTACGCGGTAGCTTCCCTAGAGCACTGTGCACTCAAACGTTACAAATCTACCTCTTGGCTTGGACCGCGTTCTTGCCTTGCGGTAGGAGAAAAGCGTCAGGTGCCGAATATGCACGCGATGATCCTCAGTTTTCACAAGTCCTTACCGACAGACTTTGAGAAATGTTCACAGAATCCAAGCATGGGTTTAGTGGAGGATCTACCCTATCAGAAAATGTGTAACCTTATAAGGTTAGTTCCTTGATGTTGTTGATGTTTTGTGCAACACCCACGGCGTTCATATGCGGCGGAAACATTCCGACAACTCAATATATAATCTAGTCAGTAAGCGCCCTGATCCAACAGTCATCACTATGTCGCAAAACGTGTCCGGTCCATCTGACCTTCGATTTCTTGGCGTAATCACCGGCATCCCTGATCTTCGTTCGATGACGGAGCTCGAAAATACGGATTCCTTTTTGCACTTGCGTGAGAACGGGAATTCCTGTATCGCCCTTTCCAGAGCGCGATGAGTAGCATGTTATCCTGCTTTCATAGAATCCAATCTATGAAATTTTCAAAGGCGTATTTAATACAGGAAGGACTGCAGTGTCGAAAAGATGAGCGCAGAGCCTGATGTAAATAGCCGAAGAACAAAAGGAACCTTGAAGATTTCTTGATCAAAAGCATTTGACAACATAAAAACCTCTGAGTACCGATATGACATAGCTACGTGCCATGCATGGGCTTGGAGGCAAAATAACATACCTGATTGACATGGGACAATAATATACCACAAGACTTCCCTCTTAGGATTTATCGTACATCTTCTAATGGTCAGCTGGAGTGGACGTTGCTGTCGTCGAATGTATAGCGGTCTTAGGGATGGATCGGTCAGAGTCGCGCAGCGCTCGGCTTTGCTCCCACAATCGAAGAGTGGTAGATCGAGCTTGTCTAAAAGAGTGCTAGTGGTTGTTGTCGCGGTTTGGCCGCATCTGGGTCGCAGCTATTTAACTTATTTCAGTCCACAGCAGATTTCCACAACACAGGTGAGCGTTGATCCAATGCAGACAGGATGGAGAAGAGCGATAAGCCATCAGAAACTTATAGAGAGCGTCAACTGTCGGTTCTTCCCCCTTCATTTTGGCTACTCTTCGTTCAGAGGTATCCACAAAGCATTCGGCCTGACCACTGCTCGGCGTACGGAATAGCGGCGTGGAATATGTATGATTTCTCGGGAACGGCATAATAGGGCGAACTGTGAAGGTGGTAGCTGTGACCCGTCGTCCGTGACAAGAGCCGTGGGGTTCCCATATTTTGCAAAAGTTTCCTTCAACACTTGGATAGTAGAAGTGGAAGATATCGATGACATCTTGACGATTTCAGCCATTTGGAATATGTATCCCATGTCCCAGGTAAAATCGTCCGTTCATGGGTCTGCAAAGTCAGCGTGCGCACGGGTCCATGGAGAGCTTGGTTTTGGCCAGGATCGTGGTTCAGCTTTGATGGGACCTTCGCGACTAGAGCGCATTTGCTACAATTCCTGACAAGTTCGAAGTCAGCGCCTAGTGTTAACTAATATCTTCAATATTGCCTGTCCAGAATGAGCCTTAGTGTCGCGAGTACACAGCGTTGTAGTGATCCTGGCATCACTACACGAGATGTGATGAGTAGGCAGCCGTCGACAGTTGTGTTGCCAGAGATTCTCAGGGGTTAGTAGCGCCAGAAAGGAGAGTTGTGATTAATCGTGGGTCAATTTCCAGACCTAGTGTAGTCGATGATCTTCCTGATGACATGATCGGCTTTTCTAGCAGTCTGGATTTTTCAGCACACCGGAAGGTAACGGCTGTTCTCGATATGTTCTGCGGTTACATCGACATGTACGTTAGCGATATCGTAGTCCTTCGGTGTTGATGGGTGCGACGCTACGAGACGTGAGGAAGCGTACACTTGTCCAAAATTCTTTGTGTTGACGTAATCGGTCGCGAAGTTGTAACTGAGTAACATTGTTTCCCATCGCTGAATACGGTTAGCACGTAGACAGATATTTCTTTCTTGTTTCCAGAAAGCGACGAATGGTTTGTGATCGGTCTTCAGCGTGGAGTGTCGTCTGCGCACAAAGCGGTTAAGTTTCTACACGGCGAATATGGGAGCAGGAGCTTCACTCCTCAATCTGGCTTTAGTTTCTCTGCTCTGGCACTCCTCAATCTGGCTTTAGTTTCTCTGCTCTGGGGTAAGGTAACAGCTAGCGTGGTAGACGTTCTTCTCTGATCCATGGGGAAGCGGTGTGAGAGTGTTGATCCAATTCCATAGTCAAGGGCATCAGCGGCCACAGTGATAGGAAGATTCGGATCGAAGTGAGTCAGCAGCAAATCCTAGCTCAGTGTTGCCTTTATCTAGTCGGAGGAAGATTGGCACGCCGGTGTCCACAGCATCCTTCTTCGCAAGGGCGTCTAACGGAGCGCGTAGGTTGTGCATATTTTGAGAACGTTTCCGTGAAAATTGTTGAGTCCGCGGGAAGCGCGTAACTGGCTCACCTCTCTTTAGAGCTGACATCTTTCGTGTGGATTTGAAGTTCTTGGGTTCAAGGGTCACCGGGGGTTATCGAGACGAATACGGAATCCGTAATCTTGGATTCACTGGAACACAGCGTATAGTCGAGTGTTGTGTTCGTCGATGGTCCTGCCCGTGACCCGTATGTCGTCGAGGCAGCTCCATCTAAGCCGGCAATGAGAATTCATACATTGCTGGAAAATGCTAGGAGCAGGCTTCCCTCGCGATTGAATTATCGGTAGGCGATTCAAACGAAGGAAATGTCATCCGGAGTTGTAAATGGGTGCTGGTGCTGTTCAAGTGTGTTGGCTGCTCGGTCCTGTCAAGTGTCTGCGGCAAAGTCAAACTGAACCATTTATCTTCTGAACGACGGCGATAGGAGCGGCCCTTTTCGAGCGGTCGATGGGGGTCAGACCATTAGTATATACAGAGCGATTGATTTCCGTTGAAATCTCCTAAACATCGGCGTGTGGAGCAGGACAAGCCTCTTTAAAAAAATTGGCTTTAGGCTTCAAGAAGGGCTTGGCCTTTGCTTGGTGCAATGTCTTAATCTGGGCGTAGAGACGGTAGGGAACTTCATCTTCAAGTGCACAGTAAGAGAAGGGCTCATTGCAATAAGCGTCGATAAGGACACTTTATAGAAAGATCTTGATCGCCAGCGGTTGTAGAGGTCGATGTAGACAGCCGGAGACCACTAGGATACGAAAAGATTTATTAAACAACAGAACTTGACAACATAAAAACGGTCAGTCCGATGACGTCGTACCCTCCTAGCTTACATCATCAGGTCTAACACTGCCGTATTGGGGGTGAGGGAGCCCCCAATACGGCAGCGTTGGGTAGGATCGCTCGGGAGAGGATGCTAAAGTGTCAGGGACAAAACAGGCTGCCCAAAAGGAGAAGGATCGGAAGCGTGTGTGGAAGACCTGATGATGTAAGCTAGGAGGGTACGACGTCTTCGGACTGACCGTTTTTATGTTGACAAGTTCTGTTGTTCAATAAATCTTCTCGTATCCTAGTGTTCTCCGGCTGTCTACAATGACCTCTACAACCGCTGGCGATCAAGATCTTTCTATAAAATGTCCTTATCGACGCTTATTGCAATGAGCCCTTCTCTTACTGCGCACTTTAGGGGAAATGAGGCCCATTTCTATTACTGTTTTTGGCGAATGGATACCCACGTGTAGCTTGCCAGACTCCGACGTGGGGG